GAGCTTTTGCCACATCCCTCGTTGCGGTGTCTATCGGTGGCCTCGGGAGCAGGGAGAGTAATGGGGAGAGGGGCTGAGCTGTGAGGGGAGAGTGCTTTTCAGCCCTCCCCGGTGCTTGTTGGGAGTGGTCTCTGCTGGTCTCTCACGGGTGTCTCTGGTCTGTCCAGGAGCGGCCATGAGTCTGCTTCCAGGCGCTTCAACCCGGCCGATGTGGAGGTGGACGTGGCTGGAAGATCCTTTCTGGTCACCGGCGCAAACAGCGGCATTGGCAAGGCCACCGCCAAGGAGATCGCGAGGAGAGGTGAGCCGGGCTGCCTGAGGAGCTCTGAGGGGTCGGAATGGAGAAGGTGGAAGGACGTCAGTTTGGCCTTCCGGTGCGCACACAAAGGCGCAGCTCCCCGGGGTGAGGGGTCAGGCGCCCTGTCTTGCAGGGTTAGAGGTTTAAGCATGAACAGTGAGAACTGGAATAATGAAACAGAAGTAGTGGAGAGGATCTGCAAAGTGTTTCTCAAGTGCGCATTTACCAAAACTATCTGTGACAGTGGCGCCTATGACGTTGGTGACAGATCAAGGTCTGTTTACGGCTGATTTGGCACAAGTAGCAGCCTGGCTGAATCTGAACTGTTCTGAAGAACTTACAGATCTGTCATACGATGAAAGGAAACAATTGGCTTTGCTAAACTGAGATGAGAGGGTATAAAAGAGACATAATTATACTTGATCTTAAGGATAATAACCTGAAGTTTGTGCCCTTTAGCTGATTATACGCAACCATTTTTTCCATTGCTCTCTGTAAGCAAGGACATGGTATGAACTGGAACTAGCTGTTGTTGAAGGATAAACGTAATCCCTTTCAGAGTTGACGAAATAATTCCTGTTGCACAAGAGTGATAGGAGTTTTGGCATATAGAATAAAAGGGAGGGGCTTGCGGCTCTTTACTCTCCCTTTGCCTGCTTAGGTTTCATAACTGTCTTATGAAGGAAGGTGGCGACTCGGTTAAATTAAACTAGTTCAAAATTATTACCATCAAAGAGCCTTTGGGTTAAAGATCCCCATCAGTGCCAGTGTGCGATTGATTTCAGGTTCCCGTTGTTGCCATTTGGTATGATAGTCTTATGTAAATATTGTACTTTGTCTAGTGAGTGTCTTGCTTGCAAATGGATATGCCTGCCAGGTTTTGCAAGCTGTCAAGCTGACTGGATCTGCATAGGATTTGGTCACCATGTCTAGTATCTGGAGCCCAAAGAACACCCTTGGGCTCAGAGTGCTTGTCTCATAACCTGCGTGGGCATTGCTGTGCATATGAAGTTAAAATCGCTCAGCAGTGTCTTCCTGATCTATCCTTGCATGTGTCGCTCTGAAACTCAGTGTCAGCTGTTGAGGCTCTGGCTGCTAGTTGAATCTCTTCAAGTACACCATGATAAGAAAATATGGAATTTGGACTCAGCAAAAGAATAACCAAGCTACGTTGGCTTTACCTTCAAATGCTTCAGATCTTTGTAAATAATCATGGTCTTGATGACAATTTCTTTAGCCTGAGTTCAGCTTATGGTTATTGCAGATATGGGCTTTCCTGTGTGTCTTGTGAACTCCACTTCGAGTTTGATGCAGTCTTCTCCCAGCTGCTCTGACAATTCACAAGTGTTAATTCAAATAATTTCAGTCTTTGCCACGAAAAATATATTTAAATCCCTTTCGTAGCCCATAGGTCACACCAAAACTTCCCTCTCTCCCTAACAGCAGGAAAAAATTTCATATTCAAAACCCTTAAAATCCACTTCTGTTTACACTGAATGTTTTCCGCTGTAGACTATGAGAATGTTCCTGATCAGCTTCAAGGCCAGCTGCTTCTTCCATGTGTTTAATTTGTACCTGCACACATTACTTGTGCTGTCCCCTGTGTTTTGGGAAGAGTGCCTTAAACACCTGGAAATGCACATCCTTACCTGCCATAAGATCTGTAATTAAAGATCTCCTTTTCAGTGAAGCCTGCTGTCACTGTGAGAATGGCCAAAGAGGTGAGCATTGGATACTGCCCCTTCTGATTGCCTTTTCTCTCACTCACGAAATCTGTTCTCCCTGGGGCAAAGCTGTCTTTCATTCTGATCCGTATATGTTCAGTGCCTGTCTGCACACAGTCCCTTCCACGTGTGGTGTCTGTGTAACGCAAACTGAAGATGAAACTGTGTTAAAGACCGGTTAGTGTCGTTTGCATGATTATCCCGGATTTGGGAGTTTCCCACTGCTGCCTGCAGTTGTGCACTTGGTAGAAGTAACCCAGCCAACTCTGGCAGTGCAGTGGAGGAATTGGACCCTGTTAGAAAATTTCAGAAGAGCCTTGCGGCTTGCTGCCTGTGTTAGCTGCATGCCAGCTAGACTTGCTGGAGCAGTGCTCTCTCGTAGACAGAAAATTTCGTTATCAGACCCCACACTGGGCTGTGTGGTGTGTGACTGCTCTGTCCTTAGAGTATTCTTGCATTTGGGTTCTGGGCACTAGAAGAGGGACTCAGCACCGTTGTTTCTATTATCAGTCCTTTGGGATTATGTTGCTTGAGCCTTCTGTTGGTGGACTGCTAGCAACCCCTAAAACACCTGTAACAATAAGTAAAAGTGAAGAGTGCAGATATTCCTGTGACTGAGACTAGCACATTACTTGTAATGCTCAGAGAATACGAAGCATAAAAATAAAAAATAATTATGTCTACCTGTACTTTAGTGCTCTTTTTGAAGGCTGCTTTAATGTGGTTAAGTTATGAGGTCATGGTAAGTATCCAGGCCTTTGAGAGGAGCCTTGCCCTGCGTATTCCTTTCATAGAGAAGTTAGTTGGAAGGGGCCTCTAGAGGTCATCTTGTCCAGCATCCCACTTGAAGCAAGACTGTTGCCAGCACTAGATCAAACCAGCCATTGCTTTTGTCTTGCTGGACCTTGAAACCTGCAAGGATGGAAATTATGCAGCCTCTAATGACAGCCAGATCTATTTAGAAGAAAACTAGTGAAAACCTTTTTCTTAATGCCTAACATGAGCCTCCTAAGCTGCAATCTGTGGCCGTGGTCCTTGTCATATCTCCCACTGCTGAGAGGAATTCAGATATCTGGCATTTTTATTTCCTTTTCATAGAGCGATTCCAGTCACTTTTGTTGTTCAGGCCCTTTGCTAGACTTTCCAAGGCATGTGCCAGAAGAAGCATTTATAATACACATGCCTTAGCTTCCATTTCCAGTGTAGCTCTAGTATTTTATCAAGACTAAACATGGTGTGCAGACATGAAAGAAGATGGTTTGATCAGACAGTAGCTAGAGTGGAGTGGCCTTTTCCACCCATTTTGCATCCTTGCATGAGGACCCTTTTACAGCATGGTACCTTCTCTTTCCTGCCTGCCTTCATAGGGACCAAAGCCAAGCAGAAATCTTCCAGCTTTCGTATTATATACAGTCTTTGTCTCCTAAACCTTTTGTCTGAAGGACCTTTACCTCCGTCTTTTGACAGACCCTGTTGGGATTCTTCATGTGTCCAGTCTGCCTGATGGTACTGCTGGGTCAGTGTCTTTTGGGAGGAATTTGTCCCTGGGAGTGTGCTATGGTTTATCCCAGATGAATGCCAGGTGCTCACAAAAGCAACTCTATCACTCCCCCTCCTCAGCTGGACAAGGGAGGAAAAAAAATATGATGAAAGGCTCGAGAGTCAAGATAAGGACAGGGAGAGATCACTGACCAATTACTGTCACTAGCAAAACAGACTGAACTTGGGAAAAAAAGTTTATCACAGGCTTCTGATGTGGTCATAGACTCATTTGGGGACATCCACCTGCTCCAGCGTGGGGTCCTCCATGGGCTGCAGGTGGATATCTGCTCCACCATGGACCTCCATGGTGTGCCAGGGGACAGCCTGCCTCACCATGGTCTTTTCCATGGGTTGCAGGGGAATCTCTGCGCCGGCGCCTGGAGCACCTCCTCCCCCTCCTTTGCTGACCTTGGTGTCTGTAGGGTTTTTTCTCTCACTCCTCTCTCCTGACTACTGCCCCACAGCAGGTTTTTCCCCTTCTTAACTACATTATCACAGAGGCGCTACCACCATTGCTGATGGGTTCGGCCTTGGGCAGTGGCGGGTCCGTCTTGGAGCTGGTTGGCATTGGCTCTGTCAGACATGGATGGAGTTTCTGGCACCTTCTCACAGAAGCCACCCCTGTAGCCCTTCCACTACCGAAACCTTGCCACGCAAACCCTCAACAGAGTGTCACAAGGCTGGTGGAGTTGGGACTGCTATGGGGTGCTATGGCCCTAACCAGCTCCCTGCTCATCAGCAAGTGTCACGGGAGCCCTGAGAGCTCCACAGACCTCAGTTTCATCAGCGTTGGTGAAAAGCCACTTCAGCTCTTGGCAGTAGAGAAGTGGGTCAGTGGTTGTGCACAGCTCGGGAACATTCTGCCTGCTGGGAAGCTCCTGTGGTGTTTTGGTGACCATCTGACCAGTATTACCACTGCTACTGGCAGGCTACAGATTTCCCACAAACTGGAATGCAATCACAGAAGGTTTTTTGTTTCATTTGGATTGTATCAAAACCCAGCTCCAAACAAGAACTGCAAATTGCACATCACTTCCTGGCCCTCCCTCTTTGCTGATGCCTCCTGCAGAGTTAGTAATTAATTCTGAAATGTGTTTCTTGTTGAAATCCACCAGGTGGCACGATTCATCTGGTTTGCCGAAATAAGGAACGGGCTGAAGTCTCCAAAGGAGAAATAGTGACAGAAACGGGTAATCAGGTGAGTTGTTTTTCGGTCTTTTGTTTACTCTTAGAAAGATTGTTAATATTAAAGACCTCGGAGGCCTTGAGATGCTCTGTTTTGCCATTTTGCTGTTGTGTTTTTAGTAGCGTTTTCGTACGGACGTGGAAACGTCATCCATATGGTTTGAAGTGCTTTAATTTCACTAGGTGATGTTTTCTGTGATAAATAACATCACCAGCAGCATGATGTTTTATTTAATGTTTGTTGTCAATATGTTTTGTGATGTCTTACTTACTATTCCTAACTATGTGGCTGAGGCTTTTTAAAGTTAATGCATTCCAACACTCTTGCAACAACATTTATGGGTTTACAGTTTTGAAGTTGAAGGTTTTATGTGTCTGAATAACATGCTCTTGATTTGTTAAGGTTGGCTGCTCTGTGAAGTCCTGTGTGTGGTCCTAGTTCCATGCTCTATGCACTTTTCCATCTCCTTGTCTTATAATTATCTCTTCCTTACCTCCTTCCTTCTGTTAAGTGTTCTTTTTGCTTCTGCATGTATCACTCTACAGTGTACCCCTGTAGCTGTCGCTGCTAATTACTCAGGAGAGTGTGCTTGTGGAGAAGTGCAGTCATTGTCTTTATATCTTGGTGTACTGGTTTTGGCTGGGATAGAGTTAACGTTCTTCACAGCAGCTCCTGTGGTGCTATGTTTTGGATTTGTGACCAAAACAGTATTGACAACTTAAGTTTTAGTTGTTGCTGAACAGTGCTCACACAGCATCAAGGCCTTTTCTGGTTCTCAGGCTGCCCCACCAGCGAGCAGGCTGGGGGTGCACAAGAAGCTGGGAGGGGACACAGCTGGGACAGCTGACCCCAGCTGGCCAAAGGTATATCCCACACCATATGACATCGTGCTCAGCAATAAAAGCTGGGGGAAGGAGGAGGAAGGGGGGACGTTTGCAGTTACGGTGCTTGGCTTTCCAAATCACTGTTGCTCGTGATGGAGGCCTGCTTTCCTGGGGGTTGCTCAACACCTGCCTGTCAATGGGAAGTAGTGAATGGATTCCTTATTCTGCTTTGTTTGCACATGCAGCTCTGATTCACTTATTAAACTGTCTTTATCTCAACCAACAAGTTTTGTCTGTTTTACCCTTCTTCTCTCCCCCATCCCACTGGGAGTGGAGTGACCGAGTGGTTGTATGGGGCTTAACTGCCTACCAGGGTTAACCCACAACACTTGGATGGAGAGCTATCTTCATTTTAAGTAGTGATTTGGCTCTTGAACACTGTATTTTTATTCCAGTAATAGTTTTTAATGTGGATCAAAAATTCTGAAGACTTCTTATGATTGGAGGTACCGTATTGACTAAATTTCTGCTCTCTGGTTTCAGCTCCCTAGTGTGACACAACCAGCATTACACTTCAGTTCTTTAATGGAGGTGAATTAGATCAGTCCTTATATAGAAATAAATACTTTCCAGCTGTCTGTAACTGTAATCCCATTGCTATAGTAAGACTGGTGATTAGCTCCTTCTCTAACTGCAGTCAGACAGCCTGGGAAGAGGGCTGAGTTTGATGACCTCTGAGGGTTCCTTCAGGTTCTGTTTTCTGTCATCTGCTGAAACAAAACTTCAGGCAAATAATGTTCTTCCTCTAAAAGCAGCACGATCACTGCGTTCCCGCTCTTCGGCAGGCTGCAAACCTGTAGTTTCTCTCGTCGTGAAAGAGTATGAGGGCACGGCAGAACATGTTTGTGACCCTGGGGACCGGGCACTTGTAAAGAAAGCAGCATTCAGCGAAGTGTTAGATGAGCTGTACAAGAGGCCCTGTGGGACATGTGACTGCACTGGGAAGAGTCATTTTAATAAGGAGTCCACAAGAACATCCTTCTTTATAAGTACTCAATCAGAAGCAATCCAGGGAGACAATAAAATGCTTTATCTGCAACGACAAGCTGTATCCAGACTTAACTTGCTCTTTCTGATCATCTGGACAGAGATCCTGTTGTAATATACGCCAAAGATTTTTTTCCACCTTCCACAGCAACACATGCTGGAATTCAGTGTTAAAGTGGAGTTATTGTTTGGCAGGCATCTGCACCTAGACCTGGGAACTAGGATGATCTCCTAATCTGTTGAAGTAGATCTACTTGTGGAGATGAGGTCTCACTTTGAAAGTGACTTTGCTACCATCGAGGACTTTTGTGGGGAACAGGCCTGTGAGTCTTTTTTCTGAGCCAACATGACAGTCTTCAGCAGATAAATCACAGAATCACAGAATCGCAGAATGTTTGGGGTTGGAAGGGACCTCCGTGGGTCATCTAGTCCAACCCCCCTGCCGAAGCAGGGTCACCTACAGCAGGCTGCACAGGATCTCGGCCAGGCGGGTCTTGAATATCTCCAGAGAAGGAGACTCCACAACCTCCCTGGGCAGCCTGTTCCAGGGCTCCGTCACCCTCAGAGGGAAGAAGTTCTTCCTCATGTTCAGACGGAACTTCCTGTGCCTCAGTTTGTGCCCATTGCCCCTTGTCCTGTCACTGGGCACCACTGGAAAGAGCTTGGCCCCATCCTCCTGACACCCACCCTTCAGATATTTGTAGGCATTTATAAGGTCCCCTCGCAGCCTTCTCTTCTTCAGGCTGAACAAGCCCAGTTCCCTCAACCTCTCCTCGTAGGGGAGATGCTCCAGTCCCCTCACCATCCTCGTAGCCCTCCGCTGGACTCTCTCCAGTAGCTCTTCATCTTTCTTGAACTGGGGAGCCCAGAACTGGACACAGTACTCCAGATGAGGCCTCACCAGGGCAGTGTAGAGGGGAAGGAGAACCTCCCTCGTCCTGCTGGCCACACTCTTCTTGATGCACCCCAGGATCCCATTAGCTTTCTTGGCAGCGAGGGCACACTGCTGGCTCATGGTTAACCTGTCGTCCACTAGGACACCCATTTAGATCTTTTTTCAGTCTCTGTAATCACTTGTAATATTGAACATCTGCCCAAAAAACGTCAGCTCTTCTGTACCAGTAGATAATGGTAGTAGCTTTAAAAGTAGAAAGCTTTTAGAGAGGTGTCCAATTAGAAACAATGAAGCAGTGACAAGATTTTGGTGAGAAATGAACATTACAATGAGAAAATTCTGACCTAACTGAAGAAAGGAGCTGAAATCCAGTGGCTAGAGAGAAGTCATGTGTTTTCTTTATCTTCAGGGAAGCAGAATTATAGGCAGGGAATAATGCCTTATAATTTTCTCAGCTTCTTCACTTATCTCATTTGCTTGTATAATGAGTATTTAAAGAAACAGCTTGGAAAGAGAGGAGGCCCTTTAATGATTATTTGTTGTTTTGCATGAGAACACATCCTCTGCATAATTATTTTAAAACTGCCTTTTCCTGGGATACATCATAAAACTATCTGTGGTGTGTCTTTGAGACTAAGTGCTATCTAGGAGAAGAGTAGGAGTTGACATGCCTTTTGTATGTTGGTAAATGCCACTGTACTTGTAGTAGGTAGAACTCAAATCTGCAAAATGAAAGAGAATTGCTTGTAACAAACAGTAAAAGGTTTTTGATGTTTTGGAGGGAGGAAGTATTTCTAGCTTTAGTGGTTTAGAAAGTTATAACTTTGCTTTATATCAAGCTTTTCTTTTTTTTTTTTTTTTTTTAAATAACTTTCAATGCTATTGCATCCACATTCCTGGCTGTAGTATTTCAAAACACTGCAAGACTTGTGAGCTGGGGTGGCTAACATGGACTAAGCAGTTAGCGCAGCAGTTAGTGTGGAAGGGGGGGGTGGATGCTCTGAGACAGCTGGAGCGGATGCAGTGATGCAAAGCGTGCTCTCCTGCCCTGGTTGGAGCGACTGCGCCTGGCACGTGGGAGACTGGTCCAGACAGAGCTCCAAAGGAATGGTGCATCAGATGTTGGGCCGCAGGGAGCGACTGGCATTTTTCCTTGAGGGCAGACCATGATGGTGGCCTCATCTGTTGGGTTCTGCTGTGGTCAAGGTGCTGGGCTGCCAGGTGAAGCGTCGGTAGGAGGTGAGCAGGCTGTATAACCATAGGGAACAGAAACAGGAGATTGACAGGGTCTTTGCAGAGAGTAGAAGAGCACAAACCCCACATTGTGTGGAAGGAGGGATGGCTAGAAGCTATGCTCAAATAAGCAGTGGATAGAGATCCCAAAGATGGGGGGGAGTAGAAGATTGCGACCGCTGGCAACAGAAGGCAGGCTTGTTCTCTGCCTGCAGATGTGCATTTATAGGATAGGTGTAGTGCCATGGTAACAGATGAGGAGGAACAGGCTCTGTCAGGGAGGTGTGTTGGAGACAGATGAGCCTGAACCATTGTCAGCACTGGGAGGAAGTGGTGGGTGTTAATGGCTGGAGGGGTGGAGGCACCCGTCTCCACCCTTGGCTTGATGTCTTGAGAGGTTTGTCACTTGCTGGGGACTCAGCCCTGAGGTATATGGAGAGTCTGCTGAGGCTCATCTGGACCTTGGGCTAGTACCGCCTGTTGCCCAAGCACATGGGCACCAATGACATTGTGAGGGGTGACCTTGAATTCATCAAGAGTGCTTACAGAGGATGAAGGGCTTGGGGGCCCAAGTAGTACTCTCCTAAATCCTTCCAGTGAAAGGGAAGGCCTTGGGCAGGAGCATATGCACCCTGCAGGTCAAGCAGCTGGTGTCAATTTGTCTTTGGCCTTTATGACCTCTTTGACCTTCTCTGAGAAATGAGCATTGCTGAGCAGGAAGGAGAAAGTGGAACAAGAGTATCTTTGCCAACAGGTTTGCTAAGCTAGTGAGGAGGGCTTTGAACGGTTTTCACTGGGGGATAGTGACCAAACCCAGAAGAGCAGTGGAGTCGTGGGGACAGCAAGTATGTATCTAGGGGACAGCAAAATGGAGGAGGATCTCAGTTTCCATGTGGAAGCAACATGACTGGGAGCCCATCTCAGATGCCTGTACATAAATACACATAGCATAGGAAACACAGGAATCCATGCATGGTTGCAGAGCTATGATCTCACTGGGATTAGAGAGATATGCTTGGCATGACACATTTTAAATAGAAGTTTTGCAAGCTTTGCAATATTTTTCTAGTTCTCTGCTATGCCTGACTGTCTGTCACGGATATTTATCTAAGTAGGACTCTCTTTTAATAAATTCAGCATTAAAAGGCTATGACTCAGAAGCAACTGAATCAAGTGACTAAGCAAGTTTTAAGGACTAGAATTAGATTTCCCAGTTGTGCATGTTAGCCCAAGTGTTTTAGTTATGTTCTGGAGATATTTTTTTCATACTGCTTAAATACCTTTTCACCTAGACAGGCCTTAACAGGGAACAGGGTCTCTTCACTGTCCCTGTTGATTATAACTTTTTTTTTTCCCCACTCTTTAGAATATCTTCTTGCATATTGTGGATATATCTAATCCCAAGGAAATCTGGAAGTTTGCTGAAAAGTTTAAAAATGAACATAAATTAAATGTGTTGGTAAGTTTGCATACTTAAATCGCGTGTCTGTCTGTGGAGTGGGTAGCCTGTGAATTTGTCCAACAGGTAGCATAGATTTCACAGTTTGGGCCACAGTTCTCTGCTTATTTTTCTGTAAATGTTTTTGCAGTAGCTTCCATGGTCTGTTTGCTCTTGTCCATTCTCAGTTCACATATAGAGATATGCTGTAAAAAAAGAGAGAAAAGCAGTAATTTTTTAGCTGCGTCTTTTGAGGTTCTTACCACACGTTTTCTGTTTGACTTTGATTACTAATAATGTTGTCCTTCTTAAAGATTAAACTTTTGTAGAAAGTCCCATTAGAACAGTCTAAAATAGAGCCAGGGAGAAAACAAACAGTTTAGCATCGTGGCTGGTAAGGGGCCCAGTACACTTTGCCCTTTATTCAGCAGTGAAAATTTTGCTCTGGGGGCTGTGCTGAAAATGAGGCACCTGGAGCAGTTGTTCTGGTGCTGACTAGATGAGGAAATTCTGATATAAATGGGAAGACAGCTTTTGAGGAGCAGCAGTGAATGAGCAGGAAGGTATGTAGCGGCGGATCTATTTTCGAGGAGGGAAAGAAAAGCTTGAGCTTCCTCTGGAAGGTAAGGCAGAGAGAAAAGTGGGCCTGAGAATAGGCTAGCTGCACACAAACTTCTGACTGTTCATGAGATTTTACCTTCCGGTGCAGCGCTGTTTTAGCAACGTGTGAGTCAGGTGGGATATCTGTGCAGGATTGGCAGGCAGAGAGAAAAGCTGGGGTCCCTACAACTAGGGCAGGAAGTCAGTATGAAGCACCTCTGCTGGTTAGCTCTGCTCTTCTCAGTGCAAACTAGGATGCAGCAACCTGCTGACCTGGCTAATCTGGCAAGTTTGGAGCTAATTCTCTTAATTTGCTGAGGGTGGGAGTTCCTGTGGGCCATTCTACTGCATGCTGCACACCTTCCCATAGCGAATTGTACCCTAACAGAGAATACATCACCGCATAGCCTGGATGATGTGGGGTCAACGTGGTCTCTCAGGTGAGACTAACAAGCTACACTCCCCATTTATGTTCTAATATCTGCTCTACAACTTGCATATTATTTTCTGTGAGAAAAAGAGTTTAAAAGCATGGAGTAAGGTGCTAAGAGAACTGTTGGCTCTTAGTGTAATGCAAATGTGGTGAGCCATTTCTCTGAGGACCCTCGCTTTTGTAAAGAACCTCTATGATCAGCAATGGAGTAATGTGACTCGGAATAACATGGTTTATTGAAACAGTTTGTAGCTTTGTGTTGCATGTCAGAAAACAGCAAACTAAAATCGACTGCTTGTATGTGTGGTTTTGTTTGTAGGTAGTTGTGTAGATTAGTTTTGTTTACAGAAGTTGTCTTGCAGATCAACAATGCCGGATGTATGGTGAATAACAGGGAATTAACTGAAGATGGACTTGAAAAAAACTTTGCAACAAACACTTTGGGTGAGTATTGAAGGCTTAGTTCTGAAATGTACTTATTTTGATTACAGAAGTGTGTTTTTGCAGCGGGATTCATGAGGTATGTATTCCTGCTCAAATAGGGATCATACCATTGCTATGCCAGGGAAGGAGCAGGAAAGGAAAAGAATAAATACTACAGCTTGTTTGGAGTGTCACTTTTTTAATTTCTCTGTTTTCTAGTTGTTCTTGCATCAGTGCCTTTTATTTATCATGGCAGCAGTGGACAAATGCAGATGAGATTAATTGAATTGATTCAGAAATTTGCTAGGAAACTTTGTTCCAAGTAGTGCTGCTGCTGATACTGTCTTTGTAATAAGTGTGCTCCTGTGGCTTGGATAGACCTTGGAGCACTTTCAGGTATTTAAAAAGACATTCAGATGTTTCAGTAAGCTTGAACAGCCCTGTCTGATGTGACAGAGGCACTGTGTAGGAAGACTGTGCCTTATACAGTGCCTTGGACACTCTCCAACAGATCCAACATCTAGTCAAGGGATTGAGCAGTGCTGCGTAAGTCTTAGGCACTCTACGTATAAGGGGCTTATCCCATCAATTGTGTGGTGGAGGTATGACAGGGACAAATTAAGGGAAGAAATGAATGGAGAAAGGTGAGGGGTGGATGAGCAGGGAAGACTGAGCAAAGTGGAAAGTTCCCCCGTGAAAGCCGTGGAAACCATGTGAGCAAACAGCCAGCCAGCAGGGAGAAGAGCTGTCTGCCATCGCTGATATCTGTAGGGCGGAAAGCTGCACCTCTTGTAGAGAGAGATGTGGTGCTTTTATCAGCCAGCAGCCCTGACACTCTCTTCCCCCTGCCTCCATGTAGGGTAGGTGGCTTTATCAAGAGACCGTCTTTAATATAGTCAGAAGTGACACATTAAGGAGGAGCTGTGGTGCTTTGTTTCTGTATTTTCTTCCTGTTCATCAGTACCTGGGACAAGGAAAGGGGGAAGCTTAGGCTATAAGGATCTGGCATTTATAGAACTAATATAGCCTGGAAGCCATTGTTGGGTTTTATTCTTAGCCTTTTTCCAGTCTTGTGCTTAGCTGATGTGGTGCATACAGCTTGATTTTTCTGCAAGTCTGACTACATTAAACTGACAATTAATTCAAATATAAAGGCACAGATTAATTTTCTTCAAATTAATCTTCTGCTAACATTCCTCTGTTTCTCCTGGTCAAAATTCAAAATGAATCTTATTTTGCTATCAAATGTCCCCTGGCTGCAGAAGTACAAGAACTTCTACCTTGAGAAATTTGTTCACCTTAAATTATTTTAACCCTCTTGTGGTCTTTCAAATGAAAATCCAGCAGTGTGCAAAGGTGCAGTTCTTCCAGAGAGAAGCAGAGTGAAACAAATACAACAGTCTGAACATGAAAGCATGTTTTGGTTTAGTTTTTAACATTGAGGAAATTAATTGCTGAGGAACTGTACTAGTGCATCACTTGAATTAGATGTTATCACATAAGCAGAAGCAGCGTGTTCTGCTTTCCCAGCTGTATCAGCCTCACTAGAGATATGCAGCTGCACAGAGGAAGCTGAATTACGATTGTAGCAAACTGGGAAAATGCCTGTATTATTTTTAATGGATGTTGCATTTACTCATTTGTGTATCACTTGCTGCTAGACTGTATAAGAAAGTCAAGGAGGTGATTGCACATTTGAGCCAATAAGGTAAAGCAGGTAAGTCATTCTCTGTTGACCAGCTTCTGCAGAGTTCAAACAAGGACTGGGTTGTTTGCTTAGACTGGTTCTCTCTAGGTAACAATAAGGTTTAAATTTTAAAGCTTTTAGAACAGAGTGGGACTTGTTTCAGCTAGAAGAGGCTGTCTGTGCAAGAGAAAGCTTCTGTGCCTGCAGTTCAGATACACATGAAAGACCAGTGCTATCAACGGTGCAGGTTGTTTTTGGTGGTTTTTTTTTTCTCAAAGTCAGAGATGGGGTAATAAATCATATCTGCTGGAGTCATAGTAGGAGAAAGCTGTATGGAGAAATGCCTCTCAGAGTAGATGCTGTGTTAAGTCATTTTGGGAGGTTTAGGTTAAATATTAGGAAAATTTCTTTACTGAAAGAGTTGTGAAGCTTTGGAACAGACTGCCCAGGGGAGTGGTGGAGTCACCATCCCTGGAGGTGTTCATAAAACATGTAGCTGTGGCACTTTGGGACGTGGTTTAGCAGGTATGGTGGTGTTGGGTTGACGGATGGACTTGATGATCTTAGAGGTCTTTTCCAAGCTTAATGATTCTATGATTTCCCTAAACACTAGGTACCTTTGTGTGTGCTTTACTTCGGAGAAGATATTTCGGTATCGATAACTATCTGTGGTTATAGGTTCCCAGAGAAAAAATTGGCTAAAGTAGATATGGCTGGTATGTAGGTTGGCTGCAAACTAGAGTGTGGTCTGAGAGAACAAACGAAATTGCCCTCTCTGCCTCTTTCCCCAGAAAACCTAAAGCCTGACGTGTGACATGGGCTTAAGACCCCTGTTTTGAAAATCTGTAGTTGTCTCCTTCATCAGCAGCATGGAAGCAATAACTCACGACTGCCTGATTTCTGCAGAAATAAGATGGAATAATATTAATATTTTTTTCAGATATTCACATGCAGGGTGTTCCTTCCATCTTTCTTTCACTGTTTCTACCCTGGATCTTAGCTCTGGTCTATTAAAGCAGTGTGTAGGTTGTAACTACCTAAGAATGCAAGGCTCTGAACTATAACATGCTTTAAATGCAGGGCAGGCTCTTTGGATTCTATATGTGAGATCTGATTAACGTTTATATAAGCTGTAGAATTGCTCATTTAGGTGCCTGAAATGCTGTGGAGCTTTTAAATCCAGTCTAGAAATATTTTCTTCTTGACTTACTTGTTAGTCTGTTTTCTAGCATAACAGGTGCTAGGGTTCAGTTCTAATTGGTCATCTGGCTTGTAAAACATACTTCATATCCTGGTCTTTTCTTGGACATATATAGGACAAAAATGAATGCACAAGTCCTCTGGTAGATAAGATGAATATGTACATAAATAGTACTGGTTAGAATGGAAAGTAAACTTCCTCAATGTGAAACACCAGTGACTGGCTAATTGAGGACAGCTCATTGAAATAGGAGGTGCAGAGACCTCTCTGGTGTTGTCAGAATATACAGGTGGGTGAAAAATCATGAAAATGCAGGTTGATAGTTCAGGCTGTGTGTGATTTGTCTAATATTCAAGTTCAAACCATAAACTGCTTTGAGCAGGCAGCGGCAGCCATGTCAGTGCTGGTGCCTAGCATCCTTAACGTGGGGCTCAGGCTCGAAAGCCGTGTGGCTTGTTGTGGTTCTGTTGGTGCTGTCACGTGAAATATCTTACTTTTTTTTCCCCTGCTAGATCCCCAGGAATTGTTACTCTGATTGCTTGAGCTCTATCGAAGGTGTAGAGAGCAGAACAGCTGTGAAGCACTTAGGCTGTAATGCGAGAGCACTAGCCAGACAGGAGTCTGAAATGGCACATTGCTGATTGAGTCACACCTTCAGTATGAAATTCAGTGACTGGCTTGGGGTAATGTGGGCAGATTTCCTGGGGAGCTGCCAGTACTGATGGGCAGATTTTATTTGTGTATCCTTTAGTCTGTGTGTTGTTGCCCTTATGTTTCTTCCTGTGGGCTGGGCTTGTACTCAGGGTTGTATCCAGGAGCTGGGCAGTGACAAGCAGTCACTTCTTTTGATGAGACTTGCAGGCTTCTGAGTCGACACTCTTTTTTTTTTAAATAATTTAATTTTATTTTACTTGTTCTAGTAAAACTTCCAACAAAGACTGTTCAAACTGGCACTATTCAGTCATTTTGGGGAAAAAACTGTCAGCATTGGTAGGCAAGTGGAGGCAAGAGCAGTGTGTTCTTATTGAAGCACTAGACATGTAGCTGAAACAATCCTTGTTCCTGTATTTTATAGCCTGCCTCACTTTACTTTTAGTCAACACATCTTCTTGCTTGACATGGAAAAATGGCATATGTGTTACATTCTTATTGCTACTTACCAGCCAAGGGGATGCTAAAACACACTCAGAGATAAATAAATGATGCTCCCAGTATGCGTCTTTTCAGTCTGATGTGCTCTCATGTTTTAATAATACAGCCATATACGTTTACTCTCTGTGCAAGAAGGGGTAGGGCCAGAGGAAATAAGATTTCTGCCACAGTGGCAGTACAGCCCTTTTATGGCAAATTGCTGAACCTGAATGGATATTTGTCAGTCTCTTCCCTACCCATAAACTGTATCTAACTGGTGTTTCACACAAGCTGGTGTTGCCTGGTGGACGGTGTTCTGAACTGCTTGGAAGTCAGTCTGCCATAAGGCCGGTGGCAAGACAGCCTTATCTGTGGAAAGGAAACTATGATACTGATTTTTCTTTCTAAAGAACTTTGAGACTTATGGATGAGAGGTGCTACGTGAAAGGATAAGGTTGAATATAATTGCAAATCAACTAGCTGTACTGAAGCCTAGGTTCCCAGGACATAGAGAAACTCTTACTTAGCAGAGCTTTGTAATTCAAGGGAAATGTAAACCTTTGTTTTGTCTTTCTTGTTCATTAGCTCTGTACGTGCACTCTCAGTTATTGCTAGTGTGGTTGGAATTGGCCCTCAGAGACAGCACACTGAAATCTTCGTTCCTGATCTTGTACTCAGGAAACAGACTTAGGGATGTGTCTTACTTGGAACTGGATAAATTGAAGGCTTGAAAAGATAACCAGGTCAAGGAAGTTCTTGTTCTTTTTTCCGAGACTTGGACATAAGAAAAGCAAGCCAATTTAACTGATTTTTACCAGATGAATGAGCCACTGAAATCTGTACAATTAAAGTTGTGGGGTTTTTTTTGTTCCCACTTTTTCACAGTTGAAATAACACTGTTCCTAATAATACTGCAAAACTCAGGCAGATGGAAAACTTCACTGAGTGTGGGGTTGGCTGCCTGCCCTTATCTGAATGCTAGCAGATTAAAAACCTCACTAA